CCTCCTCTGCCTCCCAAGTGCTTCAGAACGTCATTCCATGGAGCACTAGCACACTCTGCTGCAGAGCAAGGCATCACAGCTGCAGAGCGCCCGGACGCACAGCTGGCAACCATGGCCACGCCGCAAGCCTCCTGTGTGGCCTCAGACACCCCGCAGACCTGACATCAGTGGAGAAACCAGCAACTTGGCGCCATGGTAAGGCGAGCACCACAGGGAGCCACACTGGCTGGCTCCAGTCCTGTGTGCACTATTAGATAAGGGACACTGAACAAGCTCCGTAATTTCTCTGTGTTGTCTTCATTCTACAACTGTAGAGCCAGAGTAACATTAAAAATGCACCTATGGCAGTGTCTGGTATACAAGACAGTACACATTAGCTCTGATCTTTAACCCTCAGCCATGGTACCCTACCTTTATTTTTTTGTTTTGGTTTTTGATACAGGGTCTCACTGAATAGTTCATGCTGGCCTTAAACATACAGCAATCATCCTGCCTCAGCTTCCTGAGTACTGGGATTATAGTCATGTGCCACCATTCCTGGTGGTCTTCTACCTTAAAATCAGTTTTCATTCATTTTTCCTTATCACTTTCCTATTCCTTTAATAACTTACTCGTACTCCCTGCCATGTTCCAAAAAGAACTAAAAGATTTGCTTATTATTTGACCAGTACCATCACGTCACACAAAGTTCTGTACATTTAGGAATGCAGGTGGGCGTGGTGGCTCACACTTGTAATCCCAGCACTCGGGAGGCTGAGGCAGGAGAATCATGGCGAGTTCGAGGCCAGCCTAGGCTACAAAGTGAGCTCAAGGCCAGCATGAACTGCATAGCGAGACCCTGTCTTAAAAAGACAAAAAAAAAAGGAATGCAGTCACCGTGTCCTGCTGTGAAGTATCTTCCGTGATCTGCAGGCACAAGCTAGTGGTCACATTAGCAAGGCTCTAAGAGGGGCTCCTGGTGCAGAAGAAATGGCCAAGCACACACTCATCAACACTCATTCAAGAAAAAGCCATACGTTACTATGAAAATTTCCAATCCTACAGAAAAGTTAGGACAGTACAATCAATACTGAATACTCCCCACCAAAACTTAGTAGCTGTCAACATTTTCTGTGTTTATTTTCTCTCTTCTCCACACACATTTTTTGATTGATTGATCGAGACAGGGTTTTGCTATGTAGTTCAGGCTGGCCTCAAACTTGGGACAATTCTCCTGCCTCAGCCTCCCAAGTGCTGGGATTACAGGCGTGTGCCACCACACCTGGCTTTTTATTTTTTGATGAATCATTTGACAATTAAATTGTAGACATAATGTCATTTCACCCCTAACTACTTCAGTCTTCATCTCCTAAGAAGAAGAGTATCATGAGGTAAAGCCATACTGCCCTGATCACACCCAGGAAAAAAGTCTACATCTTTATTTTTCTAATTGCTCTATAAGTGACCCTTTTTTCAATTCAGGATCCAGCCTAGGATCACACAGCATATTTGAACTGTCAAGGTCTCTATAATATAGGGCAGTGGTGCTGGGGATATAGCTCAGCGGCACAGTGCCTGGTCCTGAGTTTGAGTCCTGGTACCAAAAAAAAAAAAAAAAAAAAAAAAAGGCAGTGGTAGTAAACCTATAGCATGCATGTTATTGTGTTTTACTTTTTTAAAATTTATTTATTTATTTTTATTTATTTATTTTTTTGAGACAGCGTCTTGCTATGCAGTTCAGGCTGGCCTTGAGCTCACTTTGTAGCCCAGGCTAGTCTCAAACTCACATCGATCCTACTGCCTTGGCCTCCCAAGTGCTGGGATTCCAGGAGTGCACCACCACGCCTGGCTGTGTTTTACTTTTTAGACAAAAGATGTTAATGAATGAGTTGTTTTTTCTAAACTAGATCCTCAGTATTGGAGTTAACTGCAGTGCTGCCACTTCGTGATAACGAGGCGGGTTTGGGGTTGCAGTCTGGGCACTCGGTCTCTAAAGGATCTGCCATCACTGATCTAGGGCGATCCCCTCCCCTTGTCTTGTGAGGTCTTTCACAGTACTGACATTTTAAACATTATGTTTATTGGTACAGTTTAGATACACATAATGATTACCTTCATCACAGGGAATTTGCACCTGCACAAGCTATATCTTGATTCCTCTTTTTCCCCATTCCCCCTCCACCTTTCAACCCCTTCATCCCCCTTTTTACAAACCTTTGTTTCTATTTTATTCTTCCTTTCTCATGTTTTTCTTTTCCCTTCCTTCCTTTCCCCTTACCCCCCCTCCCTATGCATTGATATTTGTGAAGAATTCAAGCAGCTATCCTATAAAATATCCTATAACCTGGACTTGTCTGTCTGCTCAAAATTAGGTTCAGATTCAGTATTTTTGGAAAAGTGCAACTTAGTTGATGTTTCTTTTCATATATCACATTGCAACACATGAGATACATAAAATTATGATTTTTTTTTTTTTTTTGTACCAGGACTCAAACTCAGGACCTTGTGCTTGCCAGGCAGGTGCTTGTGCCACTGAGCTACATCCCCGGCCCTAATTTGTTCATTATTAGTGTTGCTACGGTGATCATCTTGTTAGGTGGATGTCCACTCAAACTTTTCCCATGAGGGTTGGGGGTACAGCTTAGTGGTAGCACGTACAAGGCCCAGGGTCCAATCCTCAGCACCACAAAAACAACAAAGTCACCTTGGCAGTAACTGTAGTACCTACACTCAGGAGGCTGAGACAGGAGGATTGTGAGTTTAAAGTCGGCCTGGGGTACACAGCAAGTTTGAGGTCAGCCTGAACTACACAGTAAGACCCTGTCTCAAAAAACAAAAACAAAAACAAAAACAAAAAACAACAACAAAAAATCTTTCCATTATAAAGATACTTTTTCTCTTTTGAAAAATGAATAATCTGTAGTGATTCTTTCTGAGTCCTTGTGACTATCCTGTTCTCCAAAAACCTTCTTCACCCAGCAGTTCTAGCAACCACTGATATTCTTTGCCTGAATCAACATCACCATTAGTAACTACAAAATGATCACCAGTGATGTCTATTGTGTGGGTGAAATAAATCCTTGCTAATCAAATCCTCTTTCCCACCTCCTTGGATTTTAATTACAGAATTGTCTCACAACTAATTTCAATTATAGCTGAAAGATAACACTTAGTTTATCTTTCTCTTATCTCTACCTACCTGAGCAGGCACCCACAAGCATGCACTGGCTTCAGCAGCGGGCAGGGCACTCAGCTATTCATACACACAGGCGGTACCCCAGTCTTTGGAGCCCCATTTCCCATAGCAATCTAATTCCACATCATGAAAAATCTATTTTCCCAAAAACAGTTCCACGCCAGAGTCAGCTCTAGCATAACAAGCAGGGAGAAGTGGGACACAAAATGCCTCAGGTGGTAGAGACCTCTGCACAACTTAAAAGGCCTGCATGCTGCACCAGGCCAGCACCAAACTACACATGAGTCAGCTAACTCAGTCAGCTAACTTCTTTCTAGGGCCTGAACACCAGACAGACCAGCTACACCAGAATCTCCTTCAAAAGCTGGTTAAGAAACCGTTGCCCCCAGCTGGCCTCTAGAGTCTGACTCTATCAGAGCTCTGCAGGGAGCTATGGGCATCTGCTTAGAGAAGACCTACTGCAACCTCCAAGAGACGCCTGTACTTCCTAAGACACATGCTGGTACATGCCAGTTACAGATCTGTCTCCTTATATGACAGTCCCCTGCTAAGAACCAACTCCCAGAGGTCTCGGAGGAGGATGAAAGGGTTCGATATAGACAAGTCTATCGCGTCTCAAAAATATTCAAGGCTTTATAAAAGCCACTGTACCTACAGAAGCTGCCAGATCCATGGTTTTCCAAATTCAGATTCTACCTGAAGCATCTAGAGTCTGAGTCCAAGGTCTCCATGAGGTCCAAAATATGTGTTTACAACAAGGTCTGCAGTGGCTTCAGGTGCAAGAGGCCCAAGGAGCACACCCTGAGGGCGCTGGCTTAGGATGCTGCTCTGCATGCAGCTCTGACAGTCAGGGAGCAAGAGAGCCAGGAGAAAGAACTTCAGCATTCATTTGAAGGCCACCTGGAAAGTGCTTCTGAGCAACTCATTAGCCACACAGAAACACTCAGACGATATGAAGCTTCAAGGAGAGGTACCAAATTCACTCAGCCTCCAATCACTGGAGGACACAGGTACAGTGAGGCCAAGATTCCCTACACAAAGCCCCCCTTCCAGGGTCCTCATCAGCCGTCTCAGTGGATAGCCCAGAGCAAAGGACAACAGACTGGATGGCATGTGAATCATCTGAATCAAACACCACTTTTTTTTTTGAGGCTGTGTCTCACTAGGTAGCCAAGGCTGGCCTTGAACTCATAGCAGTCCTCCTGCCTCAGCCTCCCAAGTATGGGATTACAGGCATGTGCATCACCACACCTGGCCAAATAATACTCTGGACTGTTAAGGCCCTGCCTGATTCTAGCCCCCCTTCACCCAATGGGGCAGAAAGTTTCTGGCAATTCTTTCCCTCTGTACCCTACCCTCCTGTTACCCAAGCCTGAGCCTAGATTAGCCTATGTTCTGCAGCCTCAGAAATAGGGACAGGTCAGGCCTGGTGGTGCATAAGTGTAATCCCAGCACTTGTGAGGCTGAGGTAGGAGGACAGCTGTGAGTGTGAAGCCAGCCTGGGCTAAACGAGAGTTCAAGGCCAGCCTCAACTATAAAGCAAGACCCTGTCTCAAAAAAAAAAAAAAAAAAAAAAAAAAAAAAAAAAAAAAAAAAGACAAGAAAAAAAGAAACGGAGAACCAGACCATCGGGAGGAAGGTACAGTGACATACCCCTCTCTGCTATGTCCTGGGTAGCTATCCACTCAGGGAACACCAGGCAAAACAAGCCACCCTCATTATACAACAGGGGTACAGTACTCCCAGGGAAAAGACACCGCAGACATCTACACCTGCAAGTTCCCAAAGCCAGCCAGGCTCCTGGCACAGGACCCCAGGCTCTTACCTGACTGGAACACGTACCGGGCCAGGCCCTGCATTAGTTCTGCTGGCCATGTGGGTGGGGCGGACTCCCCAGTTTCTCTTTTCAGACGAAAAGTCAACTCAAAGCCAAAACCACTAGGCCCATCTGTTCCTGTGAACCTGAAAGGAACAAAAAGGAGAAAACTTCAACCTTAGGAGAAACACTGCCTGAGAGTCTCATGAAAGTTCTCGCTGTGTGGTGGCCTCACAGGCAAACTCTCTACTCAGGGTCTCCGAGCATGGAGGCCGAGGGAGAGCAGGGCCTGGAAGGCCTGGAGGAGAGCAGAACGCTGGCCTCGCCCTCCTGCCTGTGCAGTGCAGTACACAGCCAGTCTGGCCAACAACTCCCCTGCGGGCACTCTGAATCGGGACTTCCAGGTTTCGTCGTCCTAGAGCATTCCTTTCTGTGTGACTGAGGCGCAGTACAGAAAATCTTCCTCATCCACGCTCCTTACTTCAAGCTGCTACTCAGCATCCACTGAGGTTGGTAAGATAATGTATACGAGCTACCGAGAGGGCCATGTGCGCTGTGAGGATAAGACCCTCCATCCCCCAACCCCACAGGGTACAGCCGTCATCTGGATGTGAGAGAGACCCCGAGGCAGGTTCCAAATACTGGGTGGACCCATACTCTTCCTAAAAGCCAGCATCCCACATGCCCACACCCATCAGCACGCTCTCCATAAGCACCCCTCAATCACAGGGTGAGGACTATGGCTTCTGTGGCCCCATCTCAAGTGACAAGACAAGCTGGGAGTGCCTCCCTCTCTCCCTGCTAGCATTTGCAACTCTCAGAAAGACCATGCAATAGACTGCTGCCACAGGGCAAGGATGTGGATCAGAGGCAGGCCCGGCTGGTGGGTGCCACACCTCCGCAGGTCAGGAAGGCATCCGGGTAGGAGCTCCTGAGAGCTCCTGAGGCTTGCCAGCATGGGAAGGGTTAAAAGTTCAAACTGTTCATGACAGAATTTTCAGTAATTACACCTTCTGCAAACATGAGCCACAATGGTTACACACGTGTAAACTCTCCAGCATATAAATACAAAACATAAACTAAGAGGATGGCTGACACCTTCTTGCTAGCCAAGCTCCCTGAACAGGCTATCAGCAGAGAAAGCTCTCAGGGGCTGGTGAGGCTGCCAAGGCCCAGCCCTAGAGTTCCTCACGGCGTCTTTCCTTCCTCATCCCCAAAAGGATAGCTGGGAAACTGGAGAGAGAGATCCCGAAGTCTCAGAAGCTAACACAGTGCTAGCCTTGGCTTTGCGTGCTTGGGCCAGCCTTCCCGCACTGTGCAGAGGAAGATCACCACTGAGACGCTCAGTTCAACCTCTTTCAAACTGAAACGGAATCAGGAATGATCAGGTCAAACCCAATTATATTTTTTTGTTTCTTTTTTTGTTTTTGAGACAGAGTCTCACTCGGCAGTTCAGGCTGGCCTCAAACTCTTGGCCATCCTCCTGCCTCAGCTTCCCAAGTGCTGGGATTACAGGCATGTGCCACCATGCCCGGCTCCCAACTATATTTTAAAGAAGTATCCATAATATTTTCTCTGGTTCTCTAGCAACATGAGAGTGAGAATCCATGTGGAGGATATAAGCCTGAAATTCTGCAGATCTGGCTAGAAGATGATGCCAGAAGCGATACCTCTTAAGCCATTTCATTTCCTTGCCAAACTGCCCTGTTCGGGGTCACTGCAGTGTAGCGAGGCTGAGAGTGTATCTACACAAACAGGGAGGGGGCAAAAGCTGCCTTTGTTGAGGCCTGGAAGGGATGCGAAAAGCTGGAAGTAATGAAAGATGGACTCTAAAATTTTACAAAAGGAGATGGGTCACTAGGGCAAAGGGAAGATTTCAAGCAGCCACCAATTAGAGGCAGCTATGTAAAACATATTAGACCGTTGTTCCAGGGCTTTCATCGTGAGCCAAGGAAAACACTCGACTTCTAACCACAAAAACTTGAGAAACAGACTAAAAGGAATATGTTCCATCGTGGGCTGCACAGGCGTTCTCCCTCAGACGCAGAGAGGTCGCTGAATCGTTCACACCTACCTGGCAGCACCTCACTAACGAGGGCTGTGCACACATGAGTGCGCGCACACACACACGTGCACACCATCTGTCCCCACACGGGGGCTTCTGGGGCCAGCTGCGTGGCGAGCAGGCCAGCCCTCACTCGGCTGTCAGGCAGGGAGAGGCCCAGCCAGATGGTCTCTACCTGCATTTGCTCACCACCCACTGGGCTCACTGGACACAACCCCTGAAACACGAGTTTGGAATGGCCCGGCCTCAGGGTAAACACACAACCTGCGCCTGTCAGAAGGGTTCTGTCTCCAACAGGCGGCCCGGGCAACAGCCAAGGTCATGCCGTCCTCTAAGCGTGCTGGAGGGGCCCGGCCCGGGCTGCACATCCTTCTCCTGCCAGAGCGGTTCCACCTGTCCAGACGATGAAGGCCCTCCAAAGGAACAACATCATCTCATGTCTTCTGAGAGGAGGTTGTCACATGCTGCAGAAGGGGATCTGGGTCAGAGAGAATCATTTTTCAGCATAAAAGGCTGCTGAAATATTTGCTAATAGTAAATGAGGCCACTGGAATTTCTTTCTGGAGGAATTTCAAAGAAATAAGTTACAGATTCTCCCTCGTCTGGCAGGAGAGAACAGGTCTGACTTGCTGCAGGACGGAGGAGATAGGCTCTCAACAGTGTTTCCACTCCAGAACCCTTGACCCTGCATACTGAGGTACCCTGGAGAAGCTGGCTTTGTCCAGCAGTTTGGGGAGCCCATGCAACGGCTGTGCCAGGCTCACAGCAATCAGACCTGCTGACAGAAAGAACGTGTGCCTTGAATCCTGGACACACAGATGCCCCACCATTGGGACCTATCTAAAGGTCCCTCCGGAGTCACCACACTAAGGAGGCACCAATCAGTCTCCAAGAGGTGAAAGTAACTGCTAATTTCAAGCAAGAGGTGAACAGGAAACAGGGAGAGACCTTCCACAGGGAACCCATCACTGGTGGTACAAAAAGCCGGCTCTTCATGCTCAACACCACTAGTCAGCAAGGAAATGCAAATCAAACCTTCAGTGAGCTACTGCTTCACACCTTCTAGCATGGCTAAAATAAGGCCAGCAATAACAAATGTTGGCAGGGAGAAGAAATCAGAGGGCCAGGGATATAGCTCAGTGACACAGTGCCTGACTGGCAAGCAGAAGGTCGTGAGTTCGATTCCTGGTACCAAAAAAATTTAATAAATAAAAATAATAATAAGCATAAAAGGGAGAAGAAATCAGAACACGCCTACATTGCTGGTTGGGATGTAAAATGATGGTTCTGCTTTGGAAAACTGGCAATCCTCAAAAAGGTAATACAGCTACTATATGATCGAGGAGCTGAACTCCTCTGCGTATAACCAAAAGGACTGAAAACATGTTCACACAAAAACTTACCAGTGTTCAAGACAGCACTATTCATAATAGCTAAAAAGTGGAAGCAATTCAAATGTCCATCAACTGCAGAACAGATAAAGTAAGGTATACATTCAAAATATTATTTGAGGGGCTGGGGATTTAGCTCAGCGGCACAGCACCTGCCTGGCAGGCGCAAGGTTATGAGTTTGATTCCCAGTATTGAAAAACAAACAAAAAATAGTATTTGGTAATAAAAAGAAATAGTACAGTGATAACTGCTACAACACAGATGAACCTTGAAAACAGTATGAGGCCTTTGATATGAAATCTCTGCAACAGACACATCCACAGAGACAGAAAGTAGATCAGTAGCTGTCAGAGGTGGGGGTAAGGAGGTAGGACACAGTAATTTGCTAGTGGGTCCAGAATTTATTTTTGAGGTGATGGAAATGTTCTAGAATTAGACAGTGGTGACGGTTGCACCACCTTGTAAACATACTAAAAACCACAGAATTGCACATCTTAATAAGGTTAATTTCATGCTGTAAGAATTAGAAAAAGAAAACTGCATTACTGAAATGCTAGTGGAGGCAGGGCCTCAGAAGGCCTTGTTATCACAGGCGATGGCTCCATTTGTGTTGCCACAAGAGACAGTGAGGCTGACGACCACGACCCTGTGTTGGCCTAGGTTCATGTATATAGTTCTGGTTGGCCTTGAACTCACAGCAATCCTCCTGCCTCAGCCTCTCAAGTACTGGGATTATAAGTGTGCACCACCACACCTGGTTGTATCTTAGTATTTAACAAAAAAAATCTTTCTATTTTCGTTTTTGCTGCTGGAGGCCCTGGCCTCAAACATGCTGGGTATTGTTCTATCACGGAGCTACATAGCCAGAGTACCAGCAAATATTTTTAAAAGTTTGAAAAAAGAAAAAGTTGTTTAGAAAATAGGTGAGTCAAGAAGTTTTTTAAAGTTAGAAAGTTTATAAAGTAAATGTGTGGTGATACACCCACTGGGTGTAATCCCAGTGCTCAGGAGGCTGAGACAGGAGAGTTGCTTTGAGTTCGAGGATAACCCAAGCTACACAGTGAGCTCATGGCCAGCCTGAACTACACAGCAAGACCTTGTCTCAAAAAACAAAAAAAGCTTATAAAGTAAAAATATTACAGTAACCTAGAGTTAATTATTGGTGAAAGAAAAGCATTTTGTGTGAACTCAGTGCTGCTTACGTGTCCCGCGTTTAAAAGCCCTGCAGCAGTGTGCGGTTCTCCTGAGCCCTTCCTGTTCAGTTCCCGCGCACTCCTGACTCACTCGGCGCAGCTTCTGGTCCTCACGCCCCACTCAGACTAGGCTTCCTGCACAGCTGTGTCCATGTCCCATCTTTTACACCATATTCTTTCAGCCCTTTCTCACCACTGACAGCTGCTGTGCTTGAACAGCACAGGCTGCCGCACAGGCCTGTCGCCCAGGAGGGCCACTGCGCAGCACAGCCTCACTATGCGGCAGGCCACCCCACCCGGGTCTGTGTACACACAGTCTACGAAATGCACACAGCAATGAGCAGCCTGCAGTGCATGCCTCAGAACTGGTCCCCTTTAAACGACACAACTATGTGTGTCTCAAGCCCTTGACAAAGTGCTCAACCTCACTCGTAATTAGGGGGAAAAATGCAAATTTAAAAAACATTTTCACCTATCAGGTTGGCCAAATTTTTTA